CCCCATTTTGCTATATCATAACAGTTAAATATGAACCCATATTAAATCCTAGTTATGAAATCCATATTTTGCACTAGTGACCATTTGTTTTGGATCTCCGATTACAAAATTTTCTGGTTGCACCATATAAATAGTTTCATCAATGTCACCATTGAGAAACGCTGTCTTAACATCCATCTGATGAAGCTCTAAATTAAAATGTGCAACTAAAGCCATAATGATTCTAAAAGAGTCCTTTGATGAAACCGGAGAAAAGGTCTCTTTATAATCAATTCCTTCCTTTTGAGTATAACCTTTGGCTACAAGACGCGCTTTATATCTCTCCACATTACCCCTTGAATCCCTTTTGGTTTTAAATATCCATTTACAACCGATGGGTTTACAACCTTCAGGTAATGGGACGAGTTCCCAAACTTTATTGTCTTGCATGGATTTATACTCCTCATTCATTGCCACAATCCACTTTTGAGAATTTGAACTTTTCATGGCTTGACAGAAGTTGATCGGATCACCTTCCATAACACCACTTTCTTCCTCATGTTCTTGAATAAACACAAGGACATCGTTCTCTGTATCCATGCTTGACGCATGTTCTTGGAGATATACAACATAATAATCCGGAATTGCGTATCTCCTCTCTCTAGTAGATCGCCGCAATGGCACGTTTTCACTACTAGAAAAATAGCTATTTGCTGCGGTCGTTTTTGACTATTTGCTGCGGTTTTGAACCGCAGCAATTGCGGGAGCAGCAAAAAGTGGACAAAGTTAATTGCTGCGGTTTACAACCGCAGCAAATAGTAGTAACAATTTTATAAAGAAAATATATGTTGCTGCGGCTAAGAAACAACCGCAGCAAAAGAGTACTGCTACACACGTGCAATAGAAAGTCTATTAACAAGATGATAGAAATGATGTTTCCATATTTATTACGTGCCAGCTCAGCCACTCAAGGCTATACATATTACTATGGAGTAATAATATACTTCGTACTTCAAACTTAATACACATAACAGATTTTATTTAGAATCTTCTCGCATTAATATCCACTTTCCCACAACATAATTAAAATCTTACTAAAATGTAAACTAAAATTATTTGTACATGACCCACTTATATTCCTTATTAATTTCTCTATAAAGTTCAGCAAAAGTGCAAAACCAGTCCAACTCAATGCAACTTCAGAAACCTTTCCTTCTAGCTTTTCTCTCTCCAGTTGTGAATGGCTTCCTGTTGAAATAGAGTGGTCAAAAATCAAAGTCAGGGAAAAAATATACATGACTTTAAAGAACTATTCTAAATGCTCCTTATATTGTCAATCAAATCACACAGCAAGGTATTGCAAATTTATTGTATAAAGAACTATTCTATATCAAAGTATCAAATTAGCTTTCTTTTTCGGTCTTCATCCCCTATGAACCTACATATTGAAGATAGAGCGCCTATAGAAAATAAGCAAGCAAAAATGATCTCCAAGTACTTTTATTTAATTCATGTAGCTCACTTTTACATAAGATTGCTATAAAAGACACATTGATACTATTAGTGTGATAGTTATCCCAAGATCTTCTATTCTAATGGGTGATAAGTCTCACATTTCTGTATATATTATTATTAGTACACAGGGACTACTATGTAATATATTTTTTTGGCATGTATCTAAGACTACAACTAGATATTAATCTTTAGGAAAAACTGTAAGAATCTAAAGCTTCATGACATGCTCAGATCCAATAAGCAAAATAATCAGTACGCGCACAAGGATGATTTGAATAAGACTAGTTATGGACAACTTAGCTCTGCACTTTTCTGGAAATAGAAGCTTCAGAGAGCATTGAGTCATGTTTTCCTTCGAGTGGAGAGCAGCTCATGAAACTTGAAAAACTCAAAATTTACATTTCAAGTTCCAACAATGGCAGTCATCAAATAAAACTATATCCTAAATGTAAACATCATGCCAAATTTTGAGAGATCAACGGTTCACAATCTCAACCAGTTGCAGGTTGTGTGAATATAAATCAATTGATTTACCCTATTATGTACTCTATAAGCTCAACAAAAACATTTACTACATATTATACTATAAGTAAGAAAACAACTGTTTTTTCCATTTCCTATATTTACTCCTTTCCTGCATTCGTGTTACTAGAGTGCAAATGTTTTTATTCCTCTACATGTATAGAGATTAAGTTGCTAGCATGGAATAAAATGATTGATCAGGACACTAACCTGGACTGAACTAAATATCAAAAGTGAGATAATGGAAAAAGAAAACCACACCTCCCACAAAAAAAAGTGCACCAGTTATCCAAAAGTTGACATACATGATACATCCACAAAATAGCAGCCCCAGCGCCTCCCTGAAAAGCATGCCCCAAAAAATCAGGCAGATTTGTTCAAACTTTATATTTTGAAGAATAATGGCATTTTGAAAACAAATATTTGAAAACAGATCATTTTAAAATAAAAATAGAAGATTGAAAGGCGTGTAAGTGTTGAACATGGATTAAATACCATTTGCTAAAATTCATTGATCACAAACTAACTTTTCCAGGAACAAACCGAGACAAAAGTGTTGAACATGTAACCAAACAAGAATACTTGGAATTCCGAATTTCATTGTAAAATAATTTATATGTGGTATTGATAAATAGATAGTTATAAGATTGCCCTTGCAATTTTTAGAAAAAGGGAACTTAATACAGAGTATCTTCATCAGGCATTTCAGCACCAAAAGAATCTTAAGAGCAAATGAAAAGCACAAGAACTTTAGATTACACATCAAATACTGCGGAAAACTTAAAAAGTTTTAAAACTCACTTCTATACTAAAAAGAACAACTTATCTATTCAGCACCAGTACACTTCTATACTAAAGGTAGCTAATTAAGTTAAGACGTAAAGCTAGTACACTTGTATATCGAATTGGATGTGCAGAAAATAAATAGATATTCATATGTAATCCAGATTGAATAATCATCGAAGTGGAGTATTGCAGAAAATAATAATTAATGAATAAGAAAAACTAACATTGCAAAATTACAACATATAAACATAAACACTAATATAAATTTTATAAATTAGTAAAAATAATAAAGTTTCATAAAATGAGAAATAATTTAAACAAAGAAATTGAGATGATAAAATATTTAGAAATTGACCTTTAAATGAGAAGAGGCGGCGGCAAGAGGGAAGGAGACGCAAGAAGCGGCTGAAGCTGAAGTGGCGTCTTGTTTTCTAAGCTAGGAAGGAAGAGACTATCGGCAAGACTGGTACAGAAGGGACATCGGCCAAACTGGGAGGGCACCAGCGGCATCTACCTGTGAGGGCGGTGATGAATTTTTCCAATGAAGGTGGGGGCTTGTTCTCTAGACTGGGAGTCTCCATGGCGACGGGTGCTCGTTTTCTAGATTAGGAGAGACGCCAACCGAAGGTTCTCTCTCGCAGGGAATCGGCGTAGTTCTCAGATTGGTAGGAGGCGGCAGATTGGCTTAGGGATGAAGATTTACACAGATTTTTAGGCCGGGGTTAGGGATCTTTTATATGATACGGAGTAGTATTTTACCATAGTATTATTTGATTTGATGCGGTTCTATTTTAGCCCGCAGCTAAAAGCGACAAAAAAATTCAAAATTCAAAATATAACAAGTATTTGCTGCGGTTCATACACTACCGCAGCAAAAAGTATCAAATTTTCCAGCTTTTTGCTGCGGTCAATATAGAACCGCAACAAATACTAATAAATTTTGACTATTTGCTGCGGTTTAACTAAGAACCGCAGCAATTGGGTAGCAGCAAATAAAGAAAATTCTAGTAGTGTTTCTTGTTGCACTTGTTCCAGAGGAAGTTGAGTTTGTTCATTTTGAACAATTTGTTCAGTTTGGAAAGGAGATGATGAAATAATGCCTTGTTGAGTTTTCTCATTAGTTTCAAAAGAAACATCCGTATGAATTGGTTCAGGTATTGAAATCAATTCTTCCTCAAAGACAATATCCCTAACTTTATTCTTCCCCCCAAACTCAACATCCTCGAAAAATATGGCAGTTCCCGTCTCAAAAATATTTTTATCCTCGGGATTATAAAATTTATATCCCCTAGATCGCTCTGAGTAACCAATAAAGTAACTACTAACTGTTTTGGGTTCCAGTTTCTTTTCATGTGGCCTATACGGCTTTGCCTCAGCTGGACAACCCCAAATATGAAAATGCTTTAAACTAGGCTTTTACCCGTCCAAAGCTCATAAGGTGTTTTAGTAGTTGCTTTAGTTGGCACTCGATTAAGAATGTAAGCTGCGGTCTTTAATGCCTCACCCCAGAGGGATTCTGGTAAGATAGAATGAGAAATCATACTTCTTACCATTTCTTTAAGGGTTCTATTACGCCTCTCAGCTACACCATTCATGCTAGGTGAACCCGGCATAGTGTATTGAGGGACAATCCCACATTCCTCTAGAAATTTGGCAAAAGGCCCTGGACGTTGTTCACCTGAGCCGTCATACCTCCCATAGTATTCACCACCACGGTCGGATTTGACTTTCTTTATGCGTTTGTTGAGTTGATTCTCAACTTCCGCTTTGTAAGATTTAAACACGTCCAAGACTTGAGATTTTTCATGTATAAGAAATAAGTATGCATATCTAGAGTAATCGTCTATGAATGACACAAAATATTGTTGACCATTCCATGAAGGAGTAGGAAATGGCCCACAAATATCCGTGTGTATTAATTCTAAGACATATGTAGCTCTATATGCACCTTTTTTCTTATTTTTGGTTTGTTTCCCTTTAATGCACTCAATACAAGTATTGAAATCAGAAAAATCAATGGAATTAAGTGTTCCATCAGACACAAGACGTTCAACTCTATTTTTAGAGATGTGACCTAATCGTTTGTGCCATAAAAAACCAGATTGTGCATTATCAACCTTTCGCTTAGTGCCTCGGGTTTCAACATTTAAAGCATTATTATATGAAGTTATTGTTTCAAGCATGTAAAGATTGTCATATGACATAAAAGAACCAGTCCCCACAATATTTGAATTTAAAGACAAATTAAACCGGAAGTTTCCAAAGGAACAATGATAACCTAATTTGTCCAAATAAGAAACAGAAACCAAATTCTGCCTAAATGACGGAACAATAAAAGTGTCTTTTAAATCCAAATAGAAACTATTAAATAATAACAATCTAAAATGCCCAATAGCCTCCACATGCACCGCTTTGCCATCTCCCACATAGACGCATCTTTCAGAATCATTTGGCTTGCGGTGGCTCAGACAACCCTGCATAGAAACACTTATGTTAGATGTTGAACCGGAGTCTAACCACCAAGTATTTCTAGGCACTGAAGCCAAATTGTTTTCAGTACAAACCAAGGCAAGGACCATACCTTTCTTCACTTTCCAAGCATGATACTTGGTACAATCCTTCTTCATATGTCCAGATTTCTTACAGAAGAAACAGGTTGTTTCACCTTCCTTATGTTTCTTCTGTAGTGGACCTTGAGCAGCTTCATTCATAATGGGAGTTCTCTTCCTCTTTTTACCCTTATCCTTAGAGGTACTAGCCAAGTGAGCACTTTTTATCTTATTTTGTTTCATCCTCTCTTCCTCTTGCACGCAATATGAAATGAGCTCATTAAGAGACTACTTCTCTTTTTGGCAGTTATAACTGACCTTAAAAGAATCAAATGCAATAGGAAGAGAGTTCAAGACTATGTGTACGAGAACATCTTCCGATATCTCAATCTTAAGTGTCTTGAGCCTAGAAATATAAGACATTTCCATAATATACTCCCTTATATTTCCTTTTCCTGAATACCTTTTGGAAGTAAAGTCTTTTAATAACATGCTTATTTCCGCCTTATCGCTTTTAACAAAACGTTTCTCAATTTCAGAAAGGAAATCCTTGGCATTAGTAACCTCATCGGATACAGCACTCCTAAAAGATTCTGGAATTCCACGCTTTATGATCATAAGACTTAAGCGATTCAACCGATCCCACTTCTCATAGTACCTTCTTTCATCTTGGGTACTACCATCCGTAAGAGAAGCAGGTTGCCCTACCCTTAATGCTAAGTCAAGATCCATGCAGCCAAAAGTTATTAGAATATTTTCTTTCCATTCCTTAAAATTAGTACCATTTAGGACATGGATGGAGTTGAGATTGGCAGATATGCTCGAAAAATTAACTGTAGAAAGAACAAGGACAATGAACATATGTTTTAGTGAAATTGTAAAATGATTTTTAACACATCACAAGATACCAAATGCACCATTAGTATTTCATCTTTGGACAATAATACTAATTGCTAGCGGTACTCTTGTTGTAACAATAAAATATAACAATAATACATATAAAAGAAAAATCCACCTTTGGGTTGACTTTTTCTTTTAAAGTGAAACCTTATAATTGTTGTATATTTATTATTACCAAAATGTATATATATAACTTGATAAAATATTAATCTTCCTTTGGGCCGATTAATATTTACTTGAACTATATACAAAGTATGTACTATGTTTAATATTTTTATATGAGCAACTTACACAATAGGATCACTTTGGTGACATATTGTTTCTATATACTCATTTAAATATTAAACTCCTTTTATTTTACAATTTCATCACAGTTCAAAATTCTTACCGCAATATTACCCTTCGAAAAAATGGCTTGCAGATCGACGTATTATTGAATCAACATGATTCACAAAATTAGTTCATTAATTACAATGAATGCAAATTTAAGGAATAAAACTTTTATCCAGACACGCAATTCGATGTAACAATGGCATATCAGTTACATTTGAGCATTAATTAAAGTAATGGCAAAAACGGTTGCCACTTCATTATCCTTGAGACTCCATACTTACATACGGAGTTTACAATAAAGCTTATGGAAAGATTCATGCCATCAAAATTGAAGCACCGAATTAAAAATTTGCAGCGGACAAATTCTTGAGATTTCATGAAATTCATCAAATTGATTCAAAAACAAATTGCTTCTACATACGTATACATGCAATCCAATACACAACTTGAGAATTCACTTAAAAACATAAATCTGAAGCATTAAAGATGCACCCATAAGCTTAAAAACTTAACAAAGAATGAAGAAATTTCGGATATTAGCAGGTCAATGTTTCATCCGATCAAAAAATTGAAGCACTGAACCATTGATAAAGTTTTGAGATGTATACAATATACACATATATGAATCCCCTAGAAAATTTCACAAATCGGCACTAAAATAATACTGGGTAATAACGTACACCATATCATTTCAATAATATGAAATTTCGGACATCACAATTAAAACAAATTCTAGACATTACTAATGAACTCATACGTGGATTTAAACGATTCCATGGATATTCATACATATATCAATTGATACCAATTGATGGATATTCATACATATATCAACTAAACTCCATATGCGATATATACGTAAATATATAATAGCTAAATCCATATAAATCCATGAAATCAAATATGTATGAACTAAGATTAGAACAATACCTTGAGAATTCATTTGCATTAACACTTTAAGAAGACCCGGAATCCAACACGATTGATCAGCCTAACCTTCCAGTGCTATGTACCGTATGAGATGTTGATTGTCCTAGTCCTACCTATTGATGGGATATATATAGGACTAGTGGAATATTGTAACGGTTGGCCCTTAGTATTCTAATAACTCCTTTATTATTATTACAATAATGATATTATTTAGAATAATTTATTAGGCCATTTTCCGTTACAATATCTTTACTGTCATCTCTTAGTTTACACGCACCGGGGGTCATAACCGTTGTATCACTTTAGTGTAATATATTTAATTTGACCCGTCACCAAAAGAAATATATTATCCTGGTATCTACACTTTTATTATTTCATGAATAGCCACTGTATTATTTATTTGATGGTAAACACATTTTAATTAATTACATATTAGGCCCTTTTTATTGTTTTCCAACAGTAAGTACATACAATAAATAAGTGATAATAGCAAATCTGCAACCAAAAGCATGTATTGCCTAACAAATATGTAACTGTATGATGTTTAAGGAATTAATATACCCTATGATACCTCTATTTTATGTTGTTTTCTCTTTAACCATTTCTCAACTTCTGTTACAGAAAAACAACCAACATGACTAAAAAACTTTTTACATTCCTAGTCAGCTTTCTGTAATCCATATGTGACAATTATAGGGGGTAGGAATAAGCAGAGCTGATTATTCTCACTTTTAATTGATGCCTCTTGGGCTCTATGTACAAATTCATAAGCATTTTTAGAAAAATTACAGTGAAAGGACAAACGGACCTGTGAGGCACTTAAAATGACTCAAAAAACATATTACAGTCTAATTACAGAATAGCTAAAAGGTAGAGAACTACCTCTTGCTTCAATTTTCCCAGCAAATCATGTAACTTGGTTTGAGTGGCAGCAGGGAACTGCTGAATTCCAGCCCATTCTCGGACTATTTGTGAAGCCATGAAGAACTGACGGTTTACTCTGACCAATAAACCACAACCAAACCTCATGATAAGCAAAAAGAAAGACTTTAACACAAACCCTAATTACCCAACGAACAAAATACAAACATGAGATGTCATCAGTTGATTGGAGAGACTGGTGAAAGAAAAAAAAAACATCTACTTATAACAAGATAACAAAAGGAAGAATCAAGAACCAAACTTCATAAAACTAAATTCACTTGAAGTAAAGTGAGAAAGAACAAGAAAGAAGTAAGGTAATAATGCTTAGAATATAATTACTCCGTACTTTGTGAACATTATCATTTGTTTATGAGAAATAGAGAAGTATGAGAAGGGTGCGTGAAACTCACGAATCACAGACAGCTTTGGAGGGATGGCCTAAATTACATAATTTGATGTGAATAAAATATCCTGAAGCATAAGCGATGAAGAAACTTGAACATCATGAAACTTTACCAATACAAATTTAGTAATCTCATTAGCATTAGTTAACTCAGAGGAGGGACTATACCTCTCTTTAGAAGTTCATTTTAAAACTTTCATCCTCATTTATGATGGAAAAGCTTAGGAACAGAGTACCACTCATAGGCTGTACAAACTTCATTTTAAGTCATAACTAGTTTTGTACCCGGGCGTTTCCCCGGGTGCAATTCTCATATGAAATATTTAGTTTATAATTTTGTGCATATGTGATATATATCTTTTGTACTCGTATGAATTGTTTACATCTCATTGACAAAGCATTGTAATATGTATTAATTTAATATAATATTATATAATATATAAGAATAAAGAAGTTGGGATCCGTAAGATATTAGAATAACTAAACGGCATAACAAACCGAAAGATTGTGCTTCTAAATTCTGGAAAAACTCTCTATAGACAACATTTATTACATTGAAGGAAAATCCCTATTCTTTAGAACTTATCAAAATCTCTAATCCTTCTTTGCTTTTAACTCTTGATATGACAACATATGATTGGCCATGAGTGAACGCATTTTTCTCAAGATAATAGTCTGACCTGAGATATAGACTGACATTGGCTCTTGTTGATGCTCATCGCAAAGCATACCATAATCGAGAATTGCTTCATCTGAAAATGAAAAGACAGTGTTACGACATGTCGACATATGGATATAATGGCACTCTGAGAATTTAAACAGTGGCCCCCATATTTCTTCCAGTGATGATCTTTGCCTCTAGCACATGTTTTCCAAGCTTGGTGAGATTTAACTTGGTTCCATTACATAATTTTGTTTGCTGGTCTATATTTCTCAAGAGCATAATGGGAGCACCAATCTTTAGATGCAACTCGTGATCAGGCGACCCCGATATTGAGAGACTGTTAAGAAATTCTAATGTATATATGTCACTCTCACGACACAAACCGATATCTGAATTAATAATACTATCTGAGCTGAGGTACGTGATTTGATCACCAGTGATCAAAGATAGCATGTAGTCATTTATTTGGCGAACCACGTCTATAGTAGGTGCAAGTATCACTCTTTCCTGCAGGTAAGTTGGATTGCTGAGGCGTTCTTGCATGTTGGGATATGTGCTATTAACGATAGCTGCTAGGTAGTTATGTTCCGCCTTGATTAGAAATTCATTCAGGATTTCCACCTTTGTTTACTGTTATGCCAATGTTCCTTCTCCTATACTCTGGATACCCATCTTCATTAATGGAGATCGTGGGCCTGAAAGAGAAACACCTTGGGTAATGTTTAGAACACACTGTTTATCATGCAAGGTGATTTTTTTGTTGAAATCTCCGCAAGGGCCGTGTATCATTAAACTTTTTTACCGCGTCATGCAAGTCTACATATTGGAGAGGATCAGGAGTTCAGCTGAGATGACCTTATCAATGTCATCAACGCCTCTCAACTTGTACTCAGAGCGTATAAACAGGAAGATGCGGGCACGTAGTGTAAATAACTGCATAACCAATTCAATGAAGTAAATTAGTATGTAATTATATCCACATTTATTTAAAACGAAGACATCATTGGAGAGAACTTATGCGCTTGAGGTTTTCTGAATAGTTTCCTATCTTTGAGTTCTTCAATGAGACGTTTTAGCTTAATCTTAAAGATTCTCACAATGATATTGGGTCTGTCTTTAGATTTGAAGTTTCCATCATGAAGACTTATCTACTTATGGCCATTTTGGGTTACACGTGAAAGTTATAAAAAGGTTTGGGTTACCACAGTTAAGAACAATGGTCATCACATCCTGATAGGTCTGAATCATGTACCTTGCTCCGCCGGTAAATGAAGACAGTAATATTATTCGTTTGCCTTGGGCATGTGGGTTTGTTTCTCCCCTTACAACTGCATCTACCAGACCTTTGTATATATTAGATCTCAGTTTCACCTAGTTGTTTCTTAGACATTAGAGTCTTTCCTATATCGAATCATTGTAGAAGCATCAACAATGAACTACCGAAGAGGTCTCCTTGATTTAAGGATTGTACTGTAACTCACATTCCCTTGATTGAAGCTTATATGCGAAGAATTCACGCATTCTTAATTATTCCCTTTTACCAACTGTGCTCATCTCTTTGTGATCTGTACTTGATGTCTGGCCTATATCCATTCTCATCATAAGAGAATAGCAATGGATACTTCAAAACCATGTAAGATGGGTGTGCTTCATTGATCCTCTGTAGGACTCTTTCTTTTGTTTGTATTATGATGTCAATGGGATTAATGTCTCCTTCAAAATCACGAACAATAAGAGCCGCAGCTTCCGAGGCACATGGTAGATTGTACCTTCTCCCGTCTTTTCACGTTTGTTATAAGCTTTGTCCTCGCTTGTGCATCTGGAGCATGTCTGAATATGTCTCTTGCCATGCCAAATGTCTTTTTTGCAAATTCATTATGCGTATCCAGCATGTCTTGGATTGAACTAAGCGCATTTGTTTACCATTTCGAGTATCAAACACCCTGAGGAAAAATATATTAGTATTTAAATTATATCTGTTATAAGAAAGAATGAGTTGAGAGAGTATTACTTTATTGTATTCATCTTATTCGTTACTTCGTTGTCAATCTCATAAATGTACAGTTGCGCAAACTACGGAGTAGATTCAGACAAAGGCATTAAACTACCAATTTGTTGATAATTTTGTCCATGAATTTTGAACACGTACGGAGCTCTATCAGTATCGATGGTCTTGTCAACTCTTCCAGCAAGTTAGGTGAATGTGAACATCATATTATACCACCTAATATTTTTAGAATTGTTTTAGAATCGTGCATGTATTCCATTGAATATACCATGTAGGTCATCTGGAGGAGTTTGTAGGAGTGGGAATTTGACTTTCCCTAACACAGTACTCGTGCATACGCACGAGAAAAAACAGTTGGGGTACAATAAGTGAATATCTCTCGTATTTTTATTCACGATCTGATTATAAATAAAAGTAGTTTTTTTTACAATTTTACATCATTTAAAGAATGGGGTACAATAAGTGAATATAAAAAACTATAAATCTGTACAACAAATATTCGAAGTGAAAGAAAACTAAAGTAAAAAAAAATCGACACGATCTATTAGAATTTGTTACGTAATAATTATTATTGTTGTTGGTAACGGATAATGAAATATTAAACTTAATTGTTAGAGTTTTTAAAAAGTACTTTAAAGAGAACTTTTAATGATAATGTCTAAAGATTTTCTTTTCTTATTATATATTGAAATCATTAATTCGTGTTTTCTAAACTCTCAATGACGCCACATACATATAAGTCATAAAAAAGGCGGTATCTCCCTCTCTAGGGATTTGTTCTTCCGCTTTCGTCATTGATGAAGAGCGACCGTCGCTGGATTTTGGTCGTGCAAGCTGGCTCGTGACCAGGATGCTTGGATTCAATTAAGCAGCAAGTGATATCAATGGAGGATATCGTCAATCAATACAAAAGCATGACTATTGAGGCGGATGAACGGCTGGCTCGTTCCCCTCCCAAGCCGCCACCATGGAGTGCAAGAGAGTCTAGGGTTTGGAAGAAGATGAATGAATTCTGGTTTAATTCCGTTTTATTTTGTTTGTGTTTTTCTTTCGAATTGCATATTATTTTGGGTGTGTTCTTATTTCTTAGTAGAAAGTTTATAGAATTTAGGCAGGTGATGAGAATTCTAAGTTTGGTTCAAGGGCAGACGACAGACAAAAGGCTTTTTCTCATTTTGTTTCCTGCTTTAATTTTTCTTTGATTGTATTGTCAGCCAAATGACGAACGTTTTGTTGATTTAATATATTTGTTGGTTTAACGATAAAAAAATAACGCCATATATATAAAGCTGTAAAGCGTCTAGGTAGGAATATTTCAATTTTTTACAGTGATAGAGCTTGGTATTTATTGATTATCATAACATAGGTGACAATTATAGGAAAATGGCTTCTCATAAGTTTAAGAGGTCATGAGAGAGAGAGAGAGAGAGAGAGAGAGAGATGAGAGGGGAAATTCCCCCGATCAATTATTAGTCTGCTTATCTTATATCTAAAAGCACTATATATGATAGAGAAATTATTCCGCTCAATTTTTAGTCTGATTATCTTATATTATACTTAAAAGCCCTAAATATGAGAGAGAACATTATTTTTCTTAATTATAAGAACGCTTATCTTCATATAGCTAAAAGCATTACGTGTGAGAGAAATTTAATTCGCTCAATTATTAGTCCGCTTATCTTCTTATACTTAAAAACACTTCATATGAGATAGAAAATTCTCATGCTCAACTATTAGGTCACTTGTCTTATACTCCGTATCTAAAAGCACTACATATGAGAGAGAAATTTTCTGCTCAATTATTAGTTCGTTTATCTTCTTATACCTAAAAACACTATATATAAAAGAGAAAATTTTCTCGCCCAATTATGAATCAATTGCATATGAGAGAGAAAATTCTCCGCTTATCTTCATATGGAGTATCTTATAGGTTCCCACTTTCTATTTTAGGAAACAATTAACACTCTTAAATGATAATTTAGTCATCAAATACTAAAAAAATACATTTATAAAATCACAGTTATCATCAATAACCCATTATACTATATACTCATCAAAATTATTTCTCAAAACATACTCGAATTAGCATAATTAATTATTGTTTTAATAATCATGTCATTTTGTCACAGGAACCTTTAAATGGGACGGAGGGAGTATTATTTTTATGAGACTTCAAAGATTGGATTGAATATAAATAACTTTATTTATAATAATGTCTTTAATCTTAAATGTTCCTTTTTTGTGCTTTTGAAAATGTTAATTTGTCTATATTAATCAAATTTTAAAATCGAAAAGTTATATATAAATAATTAATACTAATAACTAAAACAAATAAGCTCCTTAAATTGATCAAATGGTTAAAAAAAATTAAGTTTGAAATGACACTCAAAATTGTATATAAGAAGTACGTTTTTATGCAACCTTCATAAATTATAATATGATAAGGGTGTGTTCCATATTTATCTCATACGAAAAATAAAATCATTAAGGGTGTTTTCCATGTTTATCTCCAACCGTTATCTAAAAATCAGCTGGGCAACCCATTTCTTATAAATTGTTTCTTGTGATTCACCCATGTGCGTGGTTAACAACAATTTATATTTAAATATCTCGCTCACTTCATTTAAATTATAAATAATTATGGGTTAAATCTAATAATTATCAATTCTAATAATTGTACTCAATTGCAATTTAAGTAGAAATCAATTTCAATTTAGATGACTCTACTTTATTAGTACTAAAGTAGATCTACAAAATTTAAGCTAATGTGAACTATCAATTGAAAGAAAACTAAGAATTGTTATACACACACAATGATCACATACCTGCTAAGACTCTTCTCCTTTGAATCAAGTATAACATTTGCTGTTGTTACCGGTCCTGGATAGCCATTAAAAAACCACGATCAAAATGTTAGTCGGCCATTCCTTTGTTTGAAAAATCAGAAAAAGTGAACCAATAATGAGACTGAGATTCATAAAACAAACCGATTGCAAACTGGAATGAAAAAAAAGATAAATAGAAGATGTAAGTCTATTTTTTGATTCAGATATATATTTTCACAAAACTTGTTTGGTTACCATAATCTACACTACTTAACTTGACATTTCAGACTAATAAGCTTAAATCTATGCCATTTCATATGCAAAAGACATAGAAATTGCATACTCAAATAAGGGACCAAATAAAGCTAAAGGAGAATTCTTCTTTATTTGAAGTACTATTAAAGAGCTTCGATGTGAAATTTGATAAAAACAAAAGTTCTTTTGAAGTAATAATTCTTCTTTATTTGAGAAGAACTCTAAAATGGAAAAGTAAGGCCCATACCTTTTCAATTGGTCCTTAAAAAACGAGAATGCACTATTTAATCTACCTGATAGACAAAGCTTGAAATAAGTTAGAATCTATGCAATTGATCTGCAGTACCAAAAGTTGTCACATATAAAAGCTATGGGGGATTCTCTCCCTTCTTTTGTTATTTATAAAACATTTGAGAGATGCCTAAACCAATTTCTATTTTAATTTGTAGGCTCTTGAATCGCTCATCCATGATCCATCCATATATCATACATAAAACACACTTTAGTTTATATTATGAATGAATTTGTAAGGACTATTTGTTAAAAAGAAGCCCAATAAAAGACAACAAGAACATACATTCCATAAAAATTCTAACACTAAACTTCTTTCTGTGGTCTTTGCAAAGTAGCAGCAAAGTATTATTTTTCAAATCATGTAATATGATCTTTTTTTTATACCACAAAAGTATTACAGATTTACAGGCTTAAAGTTGTTCATATAATTAAAGGGAGATGTTGGTCATTAGCAACGAAAATGGTACTATTGTTTCCCGTTTAATTCATGTTTTCTTTAAACAATCTGATTAAGAAAATTAAAAAAATGGTCAGTGAACTACTCTGTGCTTAGTTCCTATGATAAAGTTCCACGTACTATAATTTTGATTGATTTTCTGAACCCGTTTTCTTATATTTTTTGTTCATATATGTCATCTGCGATTATTAAAACGAATCCTTTTTTGTAATATATCTACATGTTTATATTATACTTTGTTGTTAAAAACAAAAATAGAGAATACAAATCTGCCATTTGTTTTACTAAGTCAAGCTTGATTACTTGTCTTTAGTTATGGTGACAGAGTAGTACCTCATTAGGGTCTATTTTAAACTATGTTAATTCGCAGAGTAAATGATTACTAATGCGAGTGGAGTTACATTGTGCACGACCGAGGCAGGGAGGGGAGCTGGTGACTCTCAATTTACTATCTAATCCACGTGAAATGGCATAGATTTAAGCTTATGAAATGGCATATATTTCAACCAAACAACTTTTACTTTATTAATTCACGTGAAAGTCAACTTTGGTCAACTTTTACCGGATGAAGCTAAAGGAGTATCACGCATTCAGCCATTGACGCAAATGTTGCGTTGCCATGCTTTGAAAGACTTCGAGTCTTTGATTCCGTACAAAATCGATTATCTTAAAACTGCCCTTAATACGATGAGTCATCAATCAATTATATTGTCATTATTATCTGATTCGATAATTTTAGGTATATATGATAATTGACAACTTCAAAAGCTAGAATCCATCTTTAATTTCTTTAGTAGTGGCTAATTTACATCCTCACCGGGCACTTGTAATTATTTACTAAATTCCATTATTAACTTGCAGTGACTTTAGTGATGATGTTTGCAGGAGATTGGAATTCCAAATTAGAAGATAAAATATATTGCGTGAATGTTTGACAGACACAAGTCTCTATTTTCTAGTTTTTATACTATTCAAAATACTTATAAAAACTTGTAATTATATATGTTTGGCATGCCAATTTTTAAAAGTTTAATTTTCTTTAAAAAATAAAAGTTTTTTTTTTATAGATGCTACAGTGAGTATCATCTTAAAAGTCTGTAGCTTTTACCATTAATTCGTTCCAAAAATTTATATACCAAATAGAATTAAATTAAACAAACACTTTTTTGTTCAACAACTATTCCATTTTTCTTTTAAAATCTTCTTAGCCACTAAAAGATATGTACATAGTAGTTAATAATCAAAGTGGACGGTGTACGCACATACATGCATTATTAAAACCCATGACAAATTATTAGCGGATTATGTTGTATAGAAAGTGTAACAAGTCTTATGGGTAATAAATAACTAATCCAGTAGAAGTTTTATTTAGCGACACATACATGAAAAGCATAATTAAGCACATGAAAAGTGTTTAAACCTCTTTTTAATTAGTTTTTTTTTTTGCAAACCTGCTCTTCTTAGACTAGGAACATATAATCGAACACCATGTTTTACTCGTGCACAACACGGGTTGATTTCACAAAATCAAAGTCATCAATTCTGCATGCCTCAAACGCATTACATTTACTCGATCAACCGCAACAAAATTTTAACAAAATTGAATTATATCGTGCTCATAGACGTATGAATTGCGACCATAAAAGTTCATGAATTTATAAATTGGTAACTTGCTTGTAAGTAATTTCTCTTGGGGAGTTTCATCACTTCATGCACCGAGTCTCTATTTTTTAAATTACGCCCCAAACAACAATATTTCGATGTCTTAATAAGTTTTTCTCTAATGTAATATAAATGACTTCGTATATATATAATCAAAATTTGTATATGAAATTTGTATAGTAGCTCACTTGTAAAATATAAACATTATTGTAGTCGCCAAAAATCACTAAGAGCTTGTTTCGTTACCTTGTTTTCCACTTATCGGTCTATTTTATCACTAAACATGTACTTTTAGATTTCACGAATTGAATTGTATAATAATCAAAATAAATAAAATTGAAGACGATTTCAAACTGAATCGGTTGAATTTATTATTTAGATAATTTTTTCATAATTTAATACATTCAGCCAATTTCATTGTAATCAAACAACTCTTTGTCACATACTGATTCATAATTTTTATTCTAATCATATATTGGGTGTTATTGGATTTTTAAGATTGAGAGAGTATTTTAACAAATAATTAAAATGTCAGATTTTCAACAAAGTTATTTAATTGAGGCATATTTCCTCATAAGATGAGGGTGAAGTGATTCGTGGTATCATTGTCCGATAAAAAAAAATGATATTCCACATTTCCACGTACTGTCCTGGGATATCCGAAAGCGGAAAAGAGAGAAAACCTCAAAAAAACCAGAAGACATTCGACTGCCAAATAGGAAACGACTTGTCTTTCAGGTTGCCCTATCCATCTACAGTGGCTGGCGGGTGGGCGGGCCAAAACGGGCGAAAGAACAACTCAGGAAGGGAAGGAACGGCCGAAGATCCGAAAGGTAAGGGGCGGGTCTCTTATTGGCGTGCCCCAAAAAGGGCTAAACCCAAACCCGATGGCCCAGTCTCACGTCAAAAGAGGAAATGTGTGTTTGATTCGGCTTTCCTTAAAGGGGTGCTACAGCCTACAGTGGTATCCTACCTCACACTGCCCCAATCACTTTTGTCAAACCAAATACTGCACATTTCACCCTCAGCTCTCATGAATTCCTAGTTTGGTGACCCCACCAATTAACTCCCTTGTTTTCATTTTTTTGGCCTCACCAAAATAAATAGAGCCGTTTGGTAAGTGTTTTTTTGTAGTTTTTTTCTTTCTTTTTTTTAATATCCCAGGGGGCATCCGGGGGAGAGGGATTTGGGAGGTCTGGGATAAATTGGGATCAATCTCACTCCATTGAGAATTGAACACGACATCTCCCATAAGAGAGAGTGAGTCAGCGGCCAACTAGGCTGGATTGTTTCCTCTTGGAACCCCGAGTCTTAGTAAGTGAGGGAATTGATGGAATCATACTTATATTGATGGAAGATTGTTGGAAATATAAGACTATTTCAAATGAATAAAATAATATTTCCTTTAATTATTTTTACACACTAATTTAATAATAAATCTTAGATTTTATACATAATAAAATTATGGCTATAAAATTGAGTTTGTCCGTTTCAACTTTTGATCCTTTGTTGAATATTAATAAACTTCACATTAATTGACAATTTCAATTGAGCTTCTAGTCTTCTAGCAAAACGGTTTTGTGAGCTGCTAGCTATTAGTATTATTAAATGTGAATTAATATACTAGCTCCAACGATTCATTTGGTTTGGCTGGAATATTACAGATATATATATGCATGTGTATGTAGAGGCAAAGTGGGATTTTGGTCTTCCAAGTACAATCAGTTTTGCTCTTAAGAAAAAAAAATATCGAGTACTCTTTGTATCTAATAGCTAGCAAAATATATTTTCTACCCACTTACTCTGCTGGATTAATAATATTTTGTGTTCTCGTTGTTCTGTTACCGGCTTGTGCCGAAGAGCTCGTTTTATCTTGGGGAAAGGTTTTCGCTAGTCGGAAATACTTTCTTGAGGACAGCGTTTACGCGACTTGAGCTATATTATTTTCTAATGATTTTTTTGCAGGTTTATCCGGCAAATTACACCAACATTCTCAAGAAAGTATTTGCGTCGGATATGCCTGCACATATGATCTCACGAGGTCTTGCCATCATGTGCGCTGCGAATAGGCTGTGATACACCTGCATGGGAAGCCTTTTTCAATCGGATAAACGGTCCCAAAAGGCTTCTACGTACTTACGGTTGGTAAATTATTGTGTTATGTGATATACCCGTAGTAATAGATTTACCGTTTTATATGGCATTTTTATGTTTCTACTTTTGTTTGATATATGAAACTCCAAAATATCCTAAGATTGATATTTAGTTATATGGAAGCACCTTCTAGAAAAATGTGAGATATTTGATGATTTATATAAATCTTGTTAGAGCATCTACACTGTGATTAAAGGTGGTAAAAGTTTTTTGTCACCTTTATAGACGATTTTTCTAGATACACTAAAGTAATTTATTTCTTTAAAATAAAGATGGGGCGTTGATTAAATTCTTAGTGTATAAATCTGAAGTGAAAAATCAATTAAATAAAAGATTAAGAGAGTTGGATCAGATAGAGGGGGCGAGCATATTTTATTTAATAATTTTGTGTGAATTTTAGAAGGGCTATGCACATGTTTTTAAATATCTAAAATTTTGGGGGTGCTTAGCTAAATTTTTATTATCTGTCCCATTGAGTGAAAATGAGTTTTATAACTTTTGGCTACCTTTGCATAAATTGATACACTGGAGCACACATATGTGATTTTCATAAATTGAAGAAATAGTGTGCTAATGTGCAATACTTTAAGCTATGT